GATCGAACACTAAAAAATTCTTCGATCCGACTGGACCAGCGCCTTCAGCATATCGTGTCCGACTTTCTCCCAACTGAGCTACGGAACGAACCAGCCGATCTTACGGATTTTTCTATACGCTTGTTGCGGAACTTTATTTTTTGTTTTGACGATTTTGTTGTCGTATCGCCATCTGTGAGAAATCTACAAGATTTTCTTCAATCATTATCGTGTTTGTTTTACAAAATTGAAATTTCGAAGAGACAAACATCTAGTGACGGGTCGAACAAGTCGTGCGCCTGATGGTAAGCTACACGCCTGTCCTTAACAGTTACAGTGCCACTCAGAGCTTTAAATTGCAAAGATCACTACCACTACGTTTGTCACCCAGACATAAGTTGACAAGTTTCATGTGCCTGTAATTTCACCAGCGCCTTTACCCATCAAAACCGGAACACAGTATTGCTGACGTTATTGCTTGGCGGCAGAAGTAGGTAAGGTGACAGTACTTCCCTGGACGAACTCTCACAAGGCGCTCTACTGCTATTAAAATTATAAGTATTGTAAAGTTTAAATATAATATTAATACGTAGGAGAATAATAAAATCAAGTTTGTGTACTTACATAATGTTAAAAATTTGCTTATTCTGATTATAAGAAACATACTCCGTTTGAAAACTGGGCGCTCCTGCATCCGACTGATATGGCAATAGCAAAAGATTATAAGAACTTAGAAATGAAAACTTGCTTTTGTTTTCAGTTTTATTAATAATAATGTGCCAGTGAACCACACCAACTGCCATTGTGGCCAAACGGTTACCATGCTACTCTGCCACGTGGAGGCCCCGGGTTTGATTCCCAAGCCGGGAGAAATATTTCTATGGCCTATAAGGGACTTTAGGTGTAATTTGTGGTTGTCTATGTCTATGTATGTGTTTCCATGGCGCCCGCGACACGGGTTTCCCTAGTGCGGGGCTATGATGAGTGTGTGCGTTATTATTATTATTAGTTGAGACTCAACTGTCTTTGAAACTAGATTTTCGCAGAATAACAATTATTATCATAATCGTAATATAATCTCATTGGGGTCTCAGTGGAATCACAATGATCAGTGGTTTCATGAAATTTACCAGATTTGGGGCCATGATCTTAAACCAGGGAATTCCGTGTACTATGAGCACAAGAGCAACGGAATTCACTCTGCGGCAATTCCCAGAACACCCAGACCAGAAACAATTTAGAAAGGTTCATTCCTAAATTTTCTGCCGCCAAGTAGTAATGTGAGCATTTAGGTTTTGAAGGGTACAGATAGTAGTAACATTACAGGCACATGGGACTTGACAACTCCCAATATCTGGGTGACGGGCGTGCCCCTCTGATCTTTGTGATTTAAAACTCTGACACTGCAACTATTATGGACAGACGTGTCGCTTCAGGCGCACGACTTGTTCGTCCCGTCACTTGTTATCATAAAAAAAATCCAATTGATACATTGTCGCAAATGTAACAAACATAAGCCAATTCAAGTTTGTGATTAACTTTCTTAATAGATCGAAAGGAAAAACTTTGCGCCATTTGGATTGAACAATTTAACAACTGGTAAAGTAATTAGTTGAAAATTAAAGTTGTTTGTCATGAATAAAAGAAATTACAACTCTGTGTTCAGTCAATTAACGTAATATATTGTCCCAGACCTAGGGGGTCTTAAGCCAATTTACCAACTTTATGCTAGTCCACAAATCGTACAGTCGATGCTCTAAGATACCTGAATCCCTAATCGTCTATTTGGTTCAGAGTAGATCAGTGTGTGAAGAAAGGTGTTTAACAAACTTAACCTCTAACGAGTGAGCCGTGAAGTTCATTTTGGAATGTCTTTCTTATTGCATCGTTAGTGAATGACGTTTTAAGAAACTTTTTAAGCCAACTTCTTTCTTTAATTACATTACATAAATACAAATTTCAAACAAAAATCTGGAATTCCTTTACACTTGCGAATATGCGACTTCCTTCATCGTCTTTTCACTTTTTATCACCCTCTTTTATGGCTCCTGGCCACTTATTTTTGAATTTTTGAATCGTTCTCTAACTCCTTTTCTTCGTTATTCTTACGCGAGAAGACGTGCTCATGAAGTATCTTCATTGAAAACCCTAATTTCACGAGATACATTTTATCTTTTCAATCATTACAATACTATGCGCCTACATTAGAATAATGCGAGCATGTCATGGATAAACCTACACATTCAATGAAGTTTGACAAACCCCAGGTCCTTGCAAAAGAAGTCCGTTATCTACCCAGGATGCTGCGAGAGGCCATTGAAATTAAAAAACATCCTAATTTCAACAGGGAAGATGGTTTCTCCGTACCACCAGTTTGGGATCCAGTATTTCCTCTAATGAAAAATCCCAAACAGACATAAGACTGCAGTACTAATTAATATGTTTTAATTTATTCTAATTTCTATTAATAATTAATAATAAATTAAACTTAACAAAAATTCATTCAATAAAATAATTTGTAAAACTTAATGTAGCGTAAAATTTGAATGTTTTCTTTGTAAAATTAAAAATAAGGTATTTAATTAATAACTATTGTAACTATAGTGAAAAAATAGGGTGGTTTGCATTAATATTAGACATAACTGATTGAAGACTGTACCACCTCAGTCAACCGTGACCATGGGACCTGTAAAGGGCCCGAAACGTCGGTTGTTTAAAAAAACAAATATACGCGATTTAAATCCGGAAAAATAGTTTCATTTCCTATGTGCAACAATCGCGAAAACCTAAGAACTCGATTGAATAATTTTTTTTTTCGTTTTATTTACATAGAAGCACTAGTGAAGTACATTATAAATGAATTACAATCTAGTCAAATACAAGACTGTTAAAGTAATTTGCATTTCACTTAAACTAATAAATAAACAAAATATTCTAAGAATTCACCCACTGGCAATTTTCATATTATCTTTTAAGGCGAAGACACTTTTATCATGCCGAGTTCTTTTTGTTCAGTGTCACTGGCACTATTTAGTTTAATCAGAATAATGTAGGCTCTCTTGTAGTAAGTGGACTTTAATAAAACTGTTTAGGGAGTGTTTTATATTGTTGTACCTTTTTATATCACTGTATTTTTGTTACAGCCTTTTGTTCTTTCATATATCTAATGAATTAATGTGGACCGAGCTCTTATTTTACTTTCGCTAAGGTTAGGCCACACATTTTTCTGTTGAATGCGTAAAAAAGGCTCTCAGGAAACAAAAGGTCGGTTAGAGGGTCAGGTATCTTGGAGCATCGACTGTACGTCGCACAATTTGTAAACAGAATGCCATCTGCCTGGTGAAAATAACATACACGCTTAACAAAATCGATAATTTATGAAAAATGTTTGGTTTCCCACACGAAATGAGCTCGGACAATCTGTCTTTTGTCATCATTCATACACATACACTTATTTACTCGATTACTGCCCGTTTTTAGATAAAATAACAATAATTTATTTTTGTATAGGTACAAATAATGTATTTGACATGAAAAACGAAGCAATAAGTAGCACGATTTATTTGCTTGGCTTCATTTTATTTGTCTAACTGTACAGAAATGAGAAAATGAACTCGGAAACGACCAGATCTACAGTCCAAATAGACATGTAAGGAGGTTAAAAAGTCGTGATTAACTTTTTATTTTCTTTATTTCGGACAATAATAGCTAGCTAGCGCCTACGTTATTTTTTTCATAGTAAGTTACAGGTGTTGCTCTTAATGTTTTTAATGTTTCTATTCAGATTTCTGATATTGAAAAACGATTTTATTCTGTCGCCGCTTTTCAAGAATTGTGAGCCAGACTAAAAAAGTTAATTTTTCTACTTATTACACCGTTCATCTCGGATAGTTTCACTAATAAAAATTGCCACGGAAATTAGATGGTGAACACTAGTCCGAAAATGACCGACATATTAAGGATATCCTAGAACAGGGCCTTGATTCGTCGTCTTCGGGCGTCAGATATGCCGAAGTTTTTTTTTGAACAATCTTTAATTAGAATCGAAAAGTGCAATTTGGGATTATTCATAGCTAGAGTGAATAGGCAAAGCGTCCCATTGTCGGTCACATCGTCGCTTAACATCAAATGAGATTGTACCTGTGTCTGTAAGCGTGTGTCTATTATACATTAAAAAAAGGCGATTTTGAAAATGGATGTAAATTAATTTGCTTCGCCATGGACCCAGTAGTGGAAGTTAAATTATACAAAATAGCTGCGCTTGTGTCTAAATTTTTTTCTTACAGTTAATTTTAACGCTATACCTTCGCATAAAATTAATAAAATAAATAACACAAGCGAAACTACAGTCACAGAGTTACATGGCGAACGGCTAAGGCATGGAATTGTCAGCCTGTAGACTTCTTCCTGAACAGCATATCTTTAGCCTTTTCAAGGCGAGAGCGAATAGGTATAGGCAAGATTGCAGTTTCCATCAGGTAAAATGGAGGTCAAATGAGCACTTATTTTTTAATAAAAAGATATACTCGACCACCACCAAAAATATACTCGACACATGTTTCGCCTCTCTACGAAACATCACCAGGAGTTGTTGATTGTTCAAGGAATCAACGTGGACTGTAATAACAATTTGTTGCCTTTGACGTTAATAACAATTGCCAAATGTGGAAACAGAATTCGTAAAGTTACGCAAACGTTTTATATCTATGTAGGCACCATAAAATGCAATACCGCGCTTATTTCAGCTTATCGCGAACGTTATGAACGGCACATCAAGTCCAAGGTTTGACAATTTGCGATATCACTCGTATACACATATTATGTTGCTCGTTAGGTATTGAAACTCAAAGGGTGAAAAGTGGATGAAATTGAACGCCGTAGCTTGTCCCAAAATGCTGGCACCGTACATGTCTATTTTAAGCAAGTTATTAAAGAAGTTACGCAACGTTACGTGAGGTTGAGCGGTGGATTATGTGGTGGTCTAAATATAGGAACAGGTAGGTGAGTAAATAATTTCCTACCTGTAAAGCTTTCGCCAATTCACTATCATTGTTATATCTTCCTGTAGTGCGTCGATCTGGCAATATATACTTGGGTAAGGACTTGAAAAACCAAGCTCCAGATTTCTTCCATATCTCCCTGGTCTCCGCACAGAGATTACACATGTACTGCTCCCGGGAACATATAGGAGACCTGTCGGAAAAAAAAAATATTATTAAGGTACGAGACTTATCCTATAAGGATCCACTAGTGCTAATATCGTGTATAATAAAAGCACATGTGATCACACGTCAAAAGTCCTTTTATTATCAGTCTGTTATAAAATAATACGTAAGTACTACATGAAACAAATTATGTATATGTGAAATTTTACAACTGTCTTATTTAAGCGATTTGATAGTCCACCACCTGATAAAAAGGGTTGTAGGTGTAATTTAAATTAAGTAATTGATGTAAAGTAATATAAAATGTAATGTAATAGAATAGAATAGAATAGAATAGAATAGAATAGAATACGTTTATTTGCCAGAATACAGTAATTGCAAAGGTCTTAAGTAAAATTAAGTACCTACATTGTATTCAACCTGCAAGTAGATGTGCAAATATTAATGGGATTCAATGTTTCTTTAATCTCTATAGTTTCTAATTAATGTAATGAATTTGTAAATTCTAAGTATTCTTTATTACTATAGACGCAATGTGTCAAAAGCCATTTTGTCAATTTTAATTTAAAAGTATGTCCTTGTAATAATTTAATTTCGTTTGGTAATTTATTGTAAATAATTATACACATGTTGAAGTAGTTATTCTTATAAATTACTTTATGGCAACGAGGTTGGTATAAGAGATTCATAATTTTTGCTCTAGTTTGCCTTTGAATGACTTCACCGCGTGTTTTAAAATATTGAGGATGAGAGTTGACAAATACGCAGATATCCCTAATGTACATGCATGGCAAAGGTAATATGTTCAGCCTTTTAAACAGCGGTTTGCAACTGTCATCGAACCACGCACCGCGAATTGCTCGAATACACTTCTTCTGGACTTTAAACGCTCTTTCTAAGATTACTGAGTTACCCCATAGTACAAGATCGTAGCTGAGCACGGACGAAACGTAGCCGTGATAGGCCGTCAACGCAGCTTCTCGCGAGACAGTGCGCATTTGTCCTCCATCTCACCTGATGGAAAGTGACGATGTGGTCGACGATGTCGCATGCACACCTAAATAATGCCTATTCACTCTAGCTTTGAAAACGTCCACGTCATAAGAATAAGTTCGTAGGCAGGGAATTAATTACACTCTCTAGCCGCTCGCCATATAAATATAGAAGCGAAAAGCGTCTTGGAATTATGTAAACTTTGCAAGCGTTCCGGAACTTTTGTAACGAAATTGTACAAACTAGATACGAGAAGTAGAGAGAGACACAGTAGATGTGCGACCGATTTTTTGGCTCTTTTTTTATAAAATGTAAGAGTGCATTTTGATCTTCATGTCACCTGATGGAAAGGTGACTATGGGGTCGATGATGGAGTATGCACGTCTAATATACCTATTCACTCTCGTCTTGGAAGCGTAAATCGTTACGCTTGCGAATCCTTGGAATATCAACAATTCTCGAAAATTCGATTCGGCGGCAATGTAAAGTGACCCTCAGAGAAATGTAAACCGTATGATGTTTTAAATAATATGCTTATGTCAAGTGACCTCGATATTCTAACGAGCTACGGGCCTCTATTTCACTAACTACAGCCCTGACTGTATGATAATACGTATTTGCTTATGTCCACAAAATATTAAAAAACGAACAAAACAACGACGTACAATGGAGAATTTATAGTTCAAGAAATGAAATACTATGTTTAGAAATTGAATAAGAAAATGATAAAGAGACGAAATTTATTATTAATGGTACAAAGATCACAAAGAAAAATTCTTTTGATCTGACTAGATTCGGACCACACCGGGAACCCCACAGACGAAATGAGCCGCTCTTACCACCAACGCTCGCACGGTGTGGCAACCATAGTTTTAATATAACGTGGTAAAACACGCTGGATCGAGTACAATCAGATCGAAGGAATTTTTCTTTGTGTTGTTTGATTTTTATATCAATAATATTTACAAACTAGTAGAGTATTATGTTAGGCGAGAAGACAAGCGATGGACCAAGGTGGTCACTGAGCGGTACCCGGTAAGAGCGAGACGTTCTCGAGGCAGACCACCTGCAAGATGACCGAACGATCTGGTCGGGGTGGCCGGAAGACAGTGGACGAGACTCGCAGAGGAGCAATTGAGCAGGTGTTCAAAAGAGGAGGCCTATACCCAGCAGTGGATGTTAACGGGCTGAGATGATGATGAGAGTATTTTCACAAAAAATAAATTAATACATGGTACTAAAACCATCATGATATTCAATAAAATACATATTAAGATTAATTAGAATGGTTCTCTTGAAGGTAAATAAATGTAATGGGTAGTTAATTTACAGAATGGTACGTAGGACGAAACCCAACAAAGGTTCATTCTGAGTAAAGTTTACTCTGTGAATTAATTATTCATCGATAGTCGCTAACGCCCACGTACAATCGGACAATTTATCCATGAAAAATTATAAAAAATAAATTGTCTTTTGTTTTATTAAATTACATTCTCAGGCACATACTTAAATGCCATTATCCTGAAACAATATTTGATTACTAATAACAATTATTAAGAATAAACAATTATTCAACATTGAAAAATGTTTACTTTTTCAATGTTGAATAATACTTTATTTCCATAACGGTCCTTGTTTGAAAATTTGAAATTGTAAAACCGGGGATAAAGTTTCTTTGTTGTGGTAACAATATTTTCGTAACTACGAGTAGCACTTAAGAATAAAATGCAAGGTGCATCGAATTATGTGTCCTGAAGTGTAAAATGTTGCACGGCCGCGATCGTGTCCGTGGATTTCTTTCCTGCTAACCATTTCAACTAAGTCAATGATAGGTATAAATAAATAAATAACGCACATACTCGTTTCCCTACACTAGGGAAACGCTGCATCGCGAGTGCGATGGACACACACATAAACCAAAACCACAAATTACACCCAAACACACGAGAAAAATAAACGTAGGCCATACAGATATTTCTCCCGACCCGGGAATCGAGTGAGTGACCTCTGCGTGACAGACCAGCGTACTAACCGTTCGGCCACGGAAGCAGTTAAACAATGCACACAATGCACACAGTCATAGCCCCACACTAGGGAAACTCAGTATCGCGGGTGCCATGGACATACACATAGGCAGACATCACAAACATATATCTAGATAGACGCCGCAAGTACAGCAATTTGTATGAAAACCAAGCGTGCTACATTTTTTGTACCCGCTACGACGACACACCTGAACCTCCTTCCGCTTGCTCTAAATTAGCCTTTCCCAAAGAGGGTGATAACGCCTCCTTGTGGGCGCTGCAGGCCTAAGAGACCCAGAAAAAAATGGGGGCGTTGTGTAGAGGCTTAGGGGGAGATTTGTAATTTCATCTAGGAAGACTCTTAGGCTCGTATTCCAGAACTCTACTCAATGTAAAGTCAGGACTTGAGTATGATTTAAAACAGTAGAAATCATACTCAAGTTCTTGCCATTAGGGTGGTATTTCCAGTGCTTGAAATCATACTTAAATCCTGACTTGAACATTGAGTAAAGTTCTAGAATACGAGCCTAAGACACCGACTGAGCTCGCGACTCTCGACTACAACTTGTGAATATCAACTAATATTAATTAAGAGATTGCTCAAACTAACTCGGTTCGACATTTCTCTCCGTGTAGTTCATATATCTGTCCTGTTTTGTTGCATAAATAAAATAAAAATGATGTCAATCGATCGCTCCGTTTCGAAATGAAAGTAGACAAACAAACAAATAAAAAGGCAACAGACACAGTTTCGCATTTTAATATTTATTAGTATTCCTAGTTAGGTAATTTTCGTAGATAATAGACCGCGGGCAACCATGTTTTAACAAGTTTTTGTTAAATAACCCGATTTGTCCATTTCTGTATCAATCGGCTGGTTCATATAATACTTGTTCTTACTTGTTGAGTACGATTGAGCGTCGAATGAGATAAACGAGTTTATACGTGTTTGTCTTATTCCTGTCGGTGCGTGCTGCTTATGCAATCCTGTATAAACAACGTAATATTTATTTGCAATGAAGCCTTCAAGACTGCAAGATTATTTAAATAAAATGCATCCAGATAAGAAAGACACGAATGTAGCATATTTTCAAGATCAAGAGAAGAAGCATAATACTCAGCCATGTGTAGCAAAACTCTTTTCGGCGGCTGCTAAGCAAGATGATGACGGACTTCGAGCTTCGTACAATATCTCTTTGTTAATTGCTCAAAAAGGCAAACCACACAACATCGGAAAAGAGTTAATTTTGCCAGCAATAAAGGAAGTAACAACTACTGTGCTTCATAAACCGGCCGCAGATATTATCCGAAAAATTCCTTTGAGTAATAATTCTGTGCAAAGACGAATTGATGAAATGGCTGAAAACATTGAAAAATCATTGTGCAATCATCTGAGGACTAGTCAATTCTCAATTCAGCTCGATGAGTCCACTTTACCAAGTAATGAAGCATTGTTGCAGTCTTACGTGAGGTATATTAAAGATGAGAAAATATGTGAAGAACTATTGTTTGCTACAAATTTAGAGACTGACACAAAAGGCGAAACCATATTCAATACATTGGAAAAATTTTGTGATGAGAAAGAGATTCCCTTGAAAAATATTATATCAGTTGCTACGGATGGCGCTCCGGCTATGACAGGGTGCCATAAAGGCTTCCTATCGTACTTAAAAAATAAAATTCCAGATGTCCTTGCTGTACATTTTCCGAATTTATCAGTATCCTGCAGTAACGACGGCTTGTTTGCCCACTGCCGACATTTGGAAAACCTCCACATTGACTTCACCGAACGATACCAGGACATTTTGAACTTGGAAATATCAGACTGGGTGTTGGATCCGTTTTCAAATGTCAACACAGCAATATCACCTCAGCTGGAAGAAGAACTTATAGAATTGACAACGAACGAGGAAATAAAAGTCAAGTTCAAAAATGGCTACCAAGAATTTTGGCTACAAAAACCGATCCCGCAATAATACCCTGGATTGTGGTCAATCGTTCAACGATTCTTAATAACATTCACATCGTCATATTTGTGTGAACGTGGTTTTAGGGTGTAACAACGCTGCTTACTAAAAAGAGAAATCGTTTGCATGTTACCGAACGTGATGACTTGCGACTGTTCTTGAATAAATTGGAACCTGATATCAACAAACTTATTAGACAGCATTAGATTCATCCTTCATATTAGTTTTTATATTAGAATCGATTATGTTTGTTTTATTTTGAATAAAAGATACTCTGTCTGAATACTATAAAGTTGCGTTTCAGTAATCATTCTCATTGGCAGACGTAGCCCGTAAGAGTTAACTTGAAACTTGAGCGCCGTTGTTAACTTGAAACCTACTGCGCTCAGGTCTCAATTTAACTCTTGAATGATTTAACTCTTCTAAAATGAATGTTTAATCTCCGCTAATATAGCTCACAATAAATTATTTAATTTGAAGTTATAGTGGTTTTTAAGTAGGTGAAAAAATGGGGGCGCTAAAAAAGAATTTATTCTCAAACTGGGCAGTAGACAAAATAAGTTTGGGAACCCCTACTCTAAATCGATTGATTGAACGGAATACCCGTAAACACGCGTATACCATTCAATTAATCGATTCTAAATAGAATATTAGTTCAAGTATTTGTTAATATTAATATAGTAGAAAAATACTAGAATAAGATAGTTTAGTTCTTTATTTTACTTGTTTTTAAAAAACGTTGATAATTAAAAAAAATGTCCATTGAATATGCAGAATTATTAGAACACTGCCTAACATCAGGCTATCTATTGTGGAATAATGAATTCTACCTACAAATCGACGGTATAGCGATGGGCTCCCCGGTATCTCCCATTGTTGCCGATATTTTCATGGAAGACTTCGAGAAGCGAGTTTTACCCATGGCCCCAGCTAGGTCGAAGATTTTCAAATGGTACGTTGATGATACTTTCACAATATTACCTAAAGATAGCCTACCTTCTTTCTTGGATCATCTTAATTCTTTTAGTACTAAGATCCAATTTACTATGGAACAAGAGAATTGTGGTACTTTAGTTTTCTTAGATGCTTTAATTAAAAGAAATCCTAATAACACCTTAGGCCATACTGTATTTCGAAAGAAAACCCATACAGATAAGTATCTCAATAGTAATTCCCATCACCTTCCCAGCCAGTTAGCTACCGTGGGCAAATCTTTGTTTCAGAGAGCACATGGTGTCTGCGACAGTAATCATCTGGCAGGGGAACTTCAGCATATAAAGCAAGTCTTTCACACGATTAAGTTAAAGATTCCACACCAATGTCGCAGGCCCCTTGTGAAACCACCAACAGTCGAGCGAAGACCTGCCATTTTACCTTACGTGAGAGATGTTACAGACAAGATCGGAAGAGTCCTCAGGCGTGTATCTATCAAGACCTAACCTAGTGAAAAAATAGGGTGGTTTGTATTAATAGTAGACATAACTGGTTGAAGACTGTACCACCTCAGTCAACCGTGACCATGGGACCTGTAAAGGGCCCGAAACGTCGGTTTGTTTGTAAAAACAAATATACGCGATTTAAATCCGGAAAAATAGTTTCATTTGCTATACTGAAAAAAAATTAAGACTTTAATTTTTAATCGACTTCAAATATTAAAATTATTGTCCTTCTAATAAAATGAGCTTATTATATAACATCTTTTTGTAATAGAAGATCTTATCGATTAACGTAAATAATGAAAAAGCACGTCAATATAATATGAACTTGCGACTGCCTTAATTAATTTTACTAGAAGGTTTTCTATTGGTAATTGATCAAATTGTTGAATGGCAAGACAAATGAAAATGTTACTGCTGACAAAATATGGTAAGATCTTATTAATCAGAAGATGTTTACGTAATGACGGCTTCGTGTGAAATTTTTGTGATTTGTTTATTATTTCTCGGACTTCTAACTCTGCTACTCTGCATATATGGATAGCATCTGTGGGATAAACTAGACAACCTGCGTCCTCGGAAGCAACGAACTCATACGTATGACAACTCCAGGTTTTGGTAAAGACAGCGCACTGTTAATTCTTTGCATTATATATTTTTTTATATTACTCGTACTACATATGCGGCGATGTATGTAATTATTTGCTCACTATATTCGGACATTCGAGGCAACGTGCTGAAATTTAAAAAAAATGTGCAAGAATTATCGAAATTACAGATACTACTGATAATTGATATTACTAAAATGAAAAAAAAAAAACACAACAGTGTTGCCTGACGTATATGTTAAATTTGGCCAAAACAAATTTACAATTGGCCGTACTACGAAACTGAATGCATTATACAAAAGTGCGTTCGTTCGATATATTCATGGCATATTAACAAAGGATCACAAATATATCGCACCAAGTAAAAGCATATTTGTTTTCTCGAAATTCATACAAAACTAAAATAATTGTTTTTAAAATAAATTATGCATCTTCTGAATACAAAATCACTTACCCGTGGAAGGAAACGTCCCTGTTTTTCCCGTTTACCCACAGTTATGGTGCTTTTGCAATTTATAATGGCACAATTATGCATTTTTCGCGTTTTTTACTGGTGTTTATCTACGATAACGTTCGAGCGCGTTCTGAAGTGTAGCAGCGGCAAGTAAGTGAATTTCAATTACTTTGGGCATGCGAAGTACGTACACTTGCGGCGTCTATCTAGACATATGTCTTACAAATTACACCCAAACTCACGAGATAAATAAATGTAGGCTATACAAATATTTCTCCCGGCTTGGGAACGAACCCGGGACCTCTGCATGGCTGTCCAACGTGGTAGCCGTTCGGCCACAGAGGCAGTTAAACATAAAGAATGTACATAGATCTGTTCTGACCTGTTCTGTGGCTGTGGAGTATCAATAACGCATTTCGGGCATGCGGAGTGGCGGCAGACGCAGCAGGTTCTCAAAGGAGCCAGCAGTCGAGTTGTTTCGCCACACAGCAGACATGTTCTTGGCGCTGGACCTTGGGCAGAGCGCCGCATGCCTATGAAATTAATCGACATTGTGAAAAAATCATTTTCGCATAGTGTATTACGACACCAGCGCGGCTTTATTCTTTTGGTAAAAGAAATGTATACTTTATGTATTAAGGGGTAGTATTTAACCGCTCACCAAAAAAGCAAGTTTTTTCGCATCCAAATATGCCACTTCCCCAACAAAAGTACTGATTGCACATCAAAATATGTACGTACATCAAAAGAAAATTAATTTAGCTTTAAATTAAATTTTATTTAAAAAAAAAAAAAAAAAAAAAAAAAAAAATTTAGCTTTATGTACTAAAATTAATGCGTAACATTTTATCGCAATACATACCTAACCTCTAAATACATATCTAACATTTCTGGCATACAACAAACGTATGACCACAAATTTATGAGAAAAAAACATACCTATTTCACTAAAAGTTACATCAGACTATCGGAATGAAACACTGTTTTATTTGACATAATCATGGACGACGGCGACGGGTCTAATGCACAAACCACGAAAAAAATGTCCCAAGTCAACCTATTTAAACGTAGTGACATGTAAAGGAATATGAAAAAGCTAAATCGTTGAATTTAAATTGTAATGTCATCGCAGTACTGTCTAATTTTGCTTGCTTCGCTGTCAGTCAAACAAACGAAGAATGAAGAGAAGAATGAGAAGATTTTAACGCCCTATAAGTTGGGACACTTTTTAGCGCGGACCCGACGTCCACATAATTGTAAGTCAATGGATATAATGGTCTAATTGTACAATTGTCCAAAACAATAAAATCAACAAAAAAAATTAAAATTGCGCACAAACATTGCAACAAAGTGTAGTGTTTAAAAATCGTAGTATCTTTTTTGTATTTGCAAGTAAAGGTAAATTTAGTTCCAATATTATGAATTGCTTACAAGAAAATCAGCTGCAAAGCTTAAAATAAAAAAAGGAGAAAATAATTTAAAAAAATTAAAATAAGTAACTTTTATTAACCTTTGCCCAGCAGTGGAACATAATAGTTTAATATTAATATTTAAAAAAAACTTTTGTTGAATTATTAGTGCTGGTCTTGCTTTCGCAGGACGTCCTCGCTTTTTTTTCTATTCGATTAGAACATCTTTGGCGTCTGCTGGTGGTACCACATACATGAGCCGGATCGTGAGCTCTACAACATGACTGTTTGCATTTATAGTTTTTTTTTTAAATGAGGGCAGTTTCATTTGCACAGGGTTCTAGCCTGTTCTTTATTCGGGCATATTGTACCAGACTCAAGGTTTTATGCGAAAGAAATAAAAGAGTCCCGATTATTTTCAGTAAATCAGATGACATTTTTTAAATAATGTTATGCAATAAGTGTTATTCGTGATATCATAAATATATTTGTTGTACGTGATTCATTGTATAAACAAAGACAATTTGTGGAGCAACTTAATTAATTTTGTTAAAAGAATTGCTATTTCGTTTAGAGTTAATTTAAATTGATGTATAATCAGTATTTTTGTTAATTAATGAACACTTTCGTTGTACACTGAGAAATTAGCAGAGGACTACTTGTGATACATGTTTTTAAATTATTTTTCATACTAGTTTTGTTAGACAGTTGTTTTATTTGTAGTGGAATATTTTTTTACTTGTGAAAGTTATTTGAATAATGAACAAAATTTTATATATATTAAGTTTTCTGATATGCACTCAATATTTCCCTTATTAAATAATATGTTCTACACTACATTGCATTTTGTAAAGTGCGCCCGGTGACGAAATGTAACCTTATCAAATAAAAGGGTGATCATATCAACAAATGAATTTTATTGTAAATTTTGGTGGCGCAATTTTTTTTTAGATTTTCCAGTAATAGAGACTCGTTTGCAATAAAATGAAACATTTGATTTATATATACGTGACAGGAACGTAACAATTTCCATTGATTTCAGAGATATAAGCATCAAATTTTTTCTCCCCACCAAAACGCTTATCAGTTGCACCAGAATTGAATATTGCCACCAAAGTTGGAATGTATATAAAAACAAAGACAATTAAGTAAATTTAATTGATTCTTTAAATTTAATTGTGATAAAAAATTTGTTTGCCCCTTTGAAACGACGCACAGTTGGAACTTTCTTTTGCTGTAATTTTTTTAATTTTTTTTTTAAATATCATGTGACGGGACGAACGAGTCATATGCCTGATGTTAAGGTACACGCCTTTCCATAACAGTTGCAGTGCCACTCAGAGCCTTAAATAAGCAAACATCTGAGGAGCACTGCCACTGCGCCCGTCACCCTGAGACTTAAGTTGGCAAGTCCCATGTGCCTGTAACTTCACCAGCACCCTTACCCTTCCAAACCTGCTATATGCTAACATTATTGCCTCCGTGGCCGAACGGTTACCATGCCGGACTGCCACGCAGAGGTCCCAGGTTCGATTCCCGGGCCGGGAGAAATATTTGTATGGCCTACATTTATTTCTCTCGTGAGTTTGGGTGTAATTTGTGGTTGTCTATGTGTGTGTCCATGGCACCCGCGACACAGGGTTTCCCTAGTGCGGGGCTATGTTGAGTGTGAGCGTTATTATTATTATTATTATTATTATTATTACTACTTGGCAGCAGAAATAGGTAAGGTGGCAGTACTTCCCTGGATTGTATTGAATGAGTTTATTGTTGCTTTTTTTTTATTATTATTATACCTGACAGGCAAATGACTCCACTCCACCTGATGTTAAGTGGAAAGTGGTATCCAAATGCTTTAATTGGCAGTTGAAGAACTATGATACCCAACCCCATCTCTACGAATGTTTCCTAAAGATAAATTGTAGAAACTCAAATGTTTACCATGAGGACATACGGTAGGTTTGTCCGGACATTGAGGCTTGATTAGGCATCATCATCATTCACAGCCTGATTTCACCCACTGCTGGGTATAGGCCTCCCGAAGTCAATGCCATCCATCACGTCATAGGTCCTGTGCTAGCCACATCCATTGACGCCCCGCGACGCGTACTATGTCGTCGACCCACCTTGTAACAGGGCGCCCGACGCTTCTTTTGCCCATCCTCGGCCACCAATCAGTCGATGTCTTGCTCCACCTGTCATCACCTTGCCTAGCTAGGTACTGTAGACTAGGCCGTACTCTATGAGTAGAATTGCTGGCTGAATGAGTTAGTTTGTATTTAGAATTCTTTGAAAAAGAATATTAAGAAAATAGAAGATCTTGACATTGATATTAAGATGATTGTTTTCGTAACCCTAGACATGTAAATTGGTAAAATAAACCAAAGTGTAAAATGATCCCGGTTTTATATTATTAAAAGTACCTCTCGCAATGCATCTGAGCTACAGCCCTCGATTATAGTACCCAGCCCCATTTGAGTACCATGATCCGAGTTCCAGCATCCTGGACTTTCGTTCATCGTCGGATCTCAACGTTCGGAACTCGGTCTACAGGACTGATGCCGAACATGGCGCGCTCCATGACCCTCTGTGCAACTCTCAACCTGTATACAGTCTCCTACGTGAGCGTCCATGTCTCGGCACCATATGTCATGGTGGGCAGAACACACTGCTCAGACACTGTGGAACCTTACCTGAGTCAAGGCTGTCATCTAACTTGCTAAACGCAGCCCATCCCAGCTGCATTCTTTTTGAGATCTCTTTAGGCTGATGCTCTTTGAAAAAAGGACAGAACATGTCCGAGATAGATGTACTGATCGACTCTCTCCAGCCTCTAATTTCCCACCGTGACAGTGGTACTGGAGGGACTGGAGAGATTCGCCATAATCTTCGTCTTGGACATATTCATCCTCAGGCCAACTCTCAAAGAAGCATCATATAGTTCCAGCATCCTTTGGAGATCGTCGAAACTTTTTGCAAATAGCACGAGATCGTCCGCGAATCTTAGATGAGACAAATGGACACCATTGATGTTGATGCCGCGGTTATCCGATTTAAGGGTTTTTTCGACATCCTCAAGTGCTGCTGTAAATAATTTTGGGGAAATGGTATCTCCTTGTTTCATTTGGAACGGGATTGGTTAAATCGTGAAGTCGTACCTGCAGAGTGGCTGAACGGTAGAGCTTCCGGGGCACATCCACGTAGCGGGAATCGATGTGGCAGCGATGAAGAGCGTGGAACACGCCCAATGTTCGAGACTGTCGAAGGCCTTCTCGTTATCGATTGAATACGAGACATTTCTCCATCAGCTGATTAACCGTGTGGATGTGGTCGATGGTTGAGAAGCCGCTCCGGAAGCCAATCTGCTTAATAGGCTGCAATGTCGCCTTTTTTTATAGATGATGGTGACGATGGCATTCTTCCATTGCTCTAGTGTTCGAGCTTCATGAAGAACTTTGTTGAAAAGTTCCACAAGTTTAGTTTTATCAAAGGATTTCCTCCTGCTTTGAGCAGTTCGACTGAAACCCCATCATCTCATCATCATCAGATGATGGTGTTGATAAGGCACTGAGTACTAATTTAGAGTTATACTTTTTCTCCAAATAACTCGAAGAAAATTCATGTTACTAAGAAAAGGCTTCATGTACTAAAGAATGAGCCAGTCTTTTTGAACTATTTCGTAATGTACACGTTTAATTTGAATATTATTACCGGTAGCTTTTAACGCCAGATGATCAAATCAATGTCATTAATGTCATTCCCAAACGACACTACTCCCAAATGTCTTTAAAAATCCATCAACTCCACCCGCGATTATTGCGAGTGTGGCTATGGCAAGGGTGCCCAGGAGTTGGAGGATTATTCAAGAGAACTGCATATCGTAGTTCTCAAATGACAACATTACTGATAATGATTCGTTTATCTGGCATTGAAACCTGCAATTGATAATATTAAAATTAAACTTGTAGAAAATTACGAAATTGTAAAAAAAACTGGTTCATTCTTTAGGTTTTGAAGCCTTTTCCTGGTAACATGAATTTTCTTCAGGTTGTAAATAAATTTTATTGAATGTCAGGATGTTTCACCACTATGGTATTCAATTATTTTATTGTGAAATTACTCCA